GTGTTAGATCTGGGAGAATGGTTCAGAAATGGAGGCAAGACTCAGATAACAACAACAGCTCTTTATTAGTGACTTCAGATCTGAGCGAGTTATCCCGGCCACAGCAGCCCCTTATATAGGGCTGGCTGTGGCTAGGCAGCCAATGAAAGCGATTTGAGTTTGCCGCTCTTGACAGGGCCAATCGCGGCAGCCCATTTACTAGCCAATCGGATCAGTCTGCAGTGACCAATCATGATCTGCTATTCGCGGGCCAATCAGAGTTGCAGGCTTTCGAGCCTGCTAGTCCGGAACACCCCTCCCCTCTCGGTTCCGTTTAAGGGGTGGAGTTATATAGTCTCGCAGGTAGGCAGGTCTTCATACCTGTCTACCCAACTTACGCAATTCCAATTGTCCATGTTCAAATTTGGGTTCGGATGGACTGTTTGCTGGATCTAGCAGGAATGGTGAACTGGTGCCTTGGTTGGGGCTCTCCTCTGATGCCCCCGGGGTGATTGAGTCCTCAGCTTCATTGCTACTGCTATGGCTCCCTGGGCTCGCTGAACCTGCTTGGCTGCTGCTTCTTGGTGAAGTGTTCATCTGCCCTGGTTCAACTACAGCTGGTGAGTATTGCAAGCTATGGTGTGGTGATCTCGGTGTTAGTTCTGAATAAACAGGTGTTGGTTCTATTTCCGGGCTCACAGCTTCCCCTCCCCCCCCCGGTGTCGAGGTTGGGGTCAGGGATGGAAGTTGTGGTCAGTCTGGAGCGTAGCTGGTCAATATGGCGTTTCCACGCTCTGCCATCAGTGGTCAGTAGACGGAAGGAGCGGGGACCCGTGACTTGAGTTATTTGGGCAGGAATCCAGAGGGGATCTCCAGAAAATTTTTTTGCAAATACAAGGTCTCCTACCTTAAAGGTGCGATGCTTGCTGCTGGAACCCAGGGGCTTTTCCGGGGTGTAGGCAGGGTGCAAGCGGTCTAGAGGCAATCTGAGTTTCCTGGCCATCAGGAGTTCAGCTGGGCTCTTGTTAGTTGTGCTGTTAGGTGTGATATGTTGAAGAAGCAGCATTCTAGTGACTTTATCGTGGATATTACCTTGTTCCATTTTCTGTAGGGTTTTCTTTGTGAACTGAACCATTCGTTCAGCCCTACCATTCGCCGCAGGATGAGCCAGCGATGTGAGTGTGTGTCGGATGCCCCATTCAGCTAGGCATTGTTCAAAGGCTAAGGCAGTAAATTGGGGCCCATTGTCAGAAACCAGGACATCAGGTAGGCCGTGTGTGGCAAAGAGTCTGTTCAATTTCTTGATGACTGCCTCAGTAGTGGTTGTTTTCATTTTATTGACCTCAAGCCAGTTAGAATACGCATCTACAGTTATTAGGAAAGTGTGGCCTCTAGTAGGTCCCGCAAAGACAATATGAATGTGTGACCAGGGACCCCTGGGTGTTTCCCATTCTGCTGGTGGAGCTTTTGGTGGGGCTGAGTGGTTTTCCTGGCATCTGTTACAAGAGGCGACCCAGGTTTCAATTTATTTGTCCATATCTGGCCACTAGGCGTAACTTCTTGCCAGTGCTTTCACACGCACAATGCCCAGGTGTCCATCGTGCAGCATTTGGAGGACTTTTTTTTGTAGTTTGGTTGGTATGATGACTCGGTCTCCCCATAAAACACACCCTCTTTGTGAGAAAAGTTCTGTCTGTCTGTTTTTGAATGGTTTAAAGGTTTCCTTGGGCTCGTATTCTGGCCATCCCCTCTCCACCCAGCCAAGAACTCATGCCAAACATGAGTCTCTTTTGGTTTCAAAGGCGATGTCCTGGGCCGTTAGTGGAGGTGAGGGAATTGTCTCAATTTGTAGTATTGGGAGAGTGGGAGCTGGGTCTTCCTGCGGTTCGGGTAGTGGAGAGTGGCTCAAGGCATCAACGTGAGGAATAGATTTCCCCAGGCGATATTTTAGTTGATAGTCGTAGGCAGCCAGGAACTCCAACCATCGGGTCATTCTGGGGGAGAGAATGTGTGGGGTAGGTTTGTCGCCCGCCAGAATGCCAAGTAATGGCTTATGATCCGTGATAATAGAAAATGGTCTCCCATATACATATTCATGAAACCTTTTAATCGCAGAGACAATAGCAAGGGCTTCCTTATCTAGGTGGCCATAGTTTCTTTCTGTTTTTGACAGAGTCCTTGAAAAAAATGCAATTGGTGCCTCTGAGCCGTTTGGGAGGACGTGGCTCAGGATGGCCCCTACCCCGAATGGTGAGGCATCACAAGTAACAGTCAAAGGGAGTGTCTCATTATATTGAATTAACACTGCATCAGAGGTAAGGAGGTCTTTTACTTGTTGGAAGGCATGTTCCTCCCAACATCCCCAAATCCAGGAGGCCCTTTTATCGAGTAGTCTATGAAGGGGCACAGCAACAGTCACCTTCTGGGGTAGGAAAATGTTATAAAAGTTAATAAGTCCCAGGAAGGCTTGGAGGTCAGTTTTGTTTTTAGGTCTTGGGGCGTTTTTGATAGCTGCCAATTTCTTTTCTGTAGGGTGGATTCCTTGTTTGTCAAGAAGGTAGCCAAGAAACTCCACCCTTTCTGTGCATAGCTGGCACTTTTCCTTCTTAACTTTGAGACCAGCATCTTTGAACCTTTGTAAGACTGTTCTGAGGCATTTCTCTAATTGACTTTTTGTTGGGGCTGCTATTAATATGTCATCAAAATAGAGCACGACCCCTTTTATGCCTTGTAATAGTCTCTCCATCAGGCTTTGAAAGATGCCTGGGGCTACGCTTACTCCAAACTGGAGCCTGTTGCATTTGAATGCACCACGATGTGTGACTATAGTTTGGGCTTCTGCAGTTTCAGAATCAACTGGCAGCTGTTGATACGCTTGGGCCAGATCTAATTTTGCGAATATTCTGCCACCCCCAAGTGAATGCAGGAGATGCTGAATGACTGGTACTGGATAGGCGCTCTGCTGCAGCGCGTGATTGAGGGTGGCCTTGTAGTCACCACAGATTCTCAAGGACCCGTCAGGCTTTATGGGGGTGACAATTGGTGTCTCCCATCGGGCGTGTCAATGGGTTCTAACACGCCTTGTGCAGTTAATTTGTCCAGTTGCTCATCAATTTTGGGTTTGAGAGCAAAGGGAACTCGGTGTGGCTTTAGGCGAATGGGCGCAATGTCGCGGCGAAGATTAAATGAAATGGGGGACCCCTTGTACTTGCCTAAGTTTTCGCTGAACACTTCTAGGAAATCGTGGACAAGGGCTGCTTCCCAGTCATCGTCTTCAGTATGATGGATGCCAGCCATTCCGATTCCTAATGGCGCGAACCACTGAAGGCCCAATAGACTTGGCCGGTCTCTGTCTACAATGGTGAGCGGTAGAATTGCATTATGTCCTTTGAAAGAGACCTGGAAATGGTGGGTACCTACGACTGGAATCCAGTTGCCTTGATAATCTTTCAGTATAAGTCTCTGACTGCTGAGGTCTTGGCGTCGGATGTTGGGAATCAGTTGCTTGAGCGTTTTCCAGGATACCATGGATAGTGAGGACCCAGAGTCTACTTTCATAATGCAAGGTTTATTTTTGATGATGACCTTTACATGGATTTTTTTAGCATCTAGCGATGAAGCGTGGCCGATGGTGATGGTTTGGTGAGCCTCTTCTCGTCTGGGCGTACCATTAAACCTTTGGGGTCTGCTGTATTGATTCCACTGGTTGTTAGGGCGGTCCCTCTGTGTGGTGGGGTTGCCATCACTCCTCCTCGGGCTGCTCCCTCTCCGTCTGGGGCTGGAACCTCTTTTGTTTCTGCATACTTTCGCAATATGCCCTCATTTTTCACAGAAACGACACATGGTGTCTAAGAATCTGCATTCGGATCGGGGAGGGTTTCCCCCGCATCTGGCGCATTGGTAGTTGGGTTTACGACCCCACTGGTCCCGTTGCTCACATTCTGACCAGAGTCTGTGGACTTCTTCCTCCTCGCTGTCTGAGGATGACTCGACATCTTCATGATGGGTGGTCGATGTGTACTTGTCTGAAGGTTTCCCAGCATCATTGGTGGGTTGGCGGTTGGTTCCGCTGGTTCGGCGCATTCGTGCTGCTGATTTACGAGTGGCTTCAGCTGCGGTGGCGTCTGCTATGGAATCTGCAAGCGAGATGTCTCCCTTGGCCATGATCTTGCTCTGTACAGTTGGATCTCTAAGACCAAGGACGATTCGGTCTCTCATGGCTTCTTCGAGGTTGGCGAAGCCACATAAACCACCCAGGTTCCTCAGGTCTGCCACGAAATCCCCAATGCTCTCACCTTCACGCTGGTCCCTCTGATAGAACTCGTGTCTGCGAATGGGAGTTGGTACTGCTGGGGCGTAATGGTTGCGTGGGATGGGAGCAAGGGTGTCCCAATCCATAGTTTTAACTTCAGCTGGTTTTGCTAAGGCTTTAGCCATCTTAAAAACGGCTGGTCCACAATGGGTTAGAAAAACAGCTCGTTTCTTGCTGGGCGTGGCATCTTTGAGGTTGTTGGACTCTAGGAACATTTGAAATCTGTCCATATATGAGTCCCAGTCCTTGCTAGCTGGATCGAATGGGGTGGGTGGTATAGCGCTGCTGGCCATGTTGCCGTCGTTGCGCTCTGTCAGCCACATGCTCCTTCAGCTAGCTCAGTTCTAGTAGACTTCGTTGCCTCCGCATCCCATCCTCGTCGCCAGTGTTAGATCTGGGAGGATGGTTCAGAAACGGAGGCAAGACTCAGATAACAACAACAGCTCTTTATTAGTGACTTCAGATCTGAGCAAGCTTTCCCGGCCGCAGCAGCCCCTTATATAGGGCTGGCTGCGGCTAGGCAGCCAATGAAAGCGATTTGAATTTGCCGCTCTTGGCACGGCCAATCGTGGCAGCCCGTTTACTAGCCAATCGGATCAGTCTGCAGTGACCAATCATGATCTGCTATTCGCGGGCCAATCAGAGTTGCAGTCTTTCAAGCCTGCTAGTCCGGAACAGTTAGAACTGAATACCCTTCCCTCAACAGAGGGGAGGAATAAGACACCACCCATCTCCAGTTTACAACGCAATTCTTGCAGCAGTTCAAAGAAGATTCCACAACCAACTGCACCCTGATTCAGGTGACCCTGAGTGCACAGATAAACCTCCAAGTGGCCTCAACAGCTATCAGAGAGAATTCTAACAGCCAGATGATTGCAAAGAAATACAGTTCTTCCATCCTCCCGACCATCGTATCAGAACCTACCTTCCGTCTCCCCACTATCCAATCTCAACTGTCAGTACCTATCCTTCCATCCATCCCCACCCCTCTGCCATGAGAACTGATGAACCTTTTGGATGAGAAGTGAAACATTTTCTTCTTCCTCCTCAAGGAAAAAAACTGTCTAGTTACCTTTTGAAGAAAAAAGCACCTTTGGGACAACTATGACCTGGATGACTGAGAATCTCCACAGACATCCTTCTCAGTTTATTTTTTTCAGATCAATGGTGTAAATACCTCTATATGTCTACATTTGTGCAAGTTTAAAGCTTTAGGGGATATCAGCCAATTTGGTGGACAGTGTTACATATTGCTTCTTCCGCCTAATCCTTAAAATAGTCTGAAGCTGGCCTGTAATCATCTCTAGAATGCAAAACCCAAAGTTATAACAGCTGAATCACTATCAGAGCAGAAAAAAGAAACTGAAAGGTAATTTTTCCACAACAAAAGCAAGACCCATCAATCTATGGTGCTTTGGGGCAAGAAAATCAATTTTATTATTATTTCAGATGCACCACAATTGAACTATCAATCAATGGATGTGGCTCCTGGATGTGAGATTAGATGGCACTAGAGTTCTGAGCTACTGCAAAAATGTAGTAGCAAGCATCTTTTTGCTTTTTCTAACTTTATCTATAGCTGAGTAAAGCTTTGCCTTTGGCTTCATCCCATTCTTAAATCAGTTATGAATTAAGATAATCAGTGTTCCGGACTAGCAGGCTCGAAGCCTGCAAACCTGATTGGCCCGCTGATAGCCGATCGTGATTGGTCGCCATAGATTGATGCAATTGGCCAGTAAACGGGCTTCTGCGATTGGCCCTGCCAAGAGTGGCAAACTCAAATCGCCTTCATTGGCTGCCTAGCCACAGCCAGCCCTATATAAGGGGCTGCTGCGGCTGGGATTCGTTGCTCAGATCTGAAGTCACTAATAAAGAGCTGTTGTTGCTATCTGAGTCTTGCCTCCGTTCTTGAACCATCCTCCCAGATCTAACAATCAGCATTTCTGAGTCTTGGAGGTTAAAGATGAAAGACGATCATACCTGTAACATACATAGGCAAACACCAGGGACATTGACTGTACTTGTCCGGATTCCAGGCAAATTTGAAATTCTGAAGCCAGAACAGGTAAAAAAAAAGAAAGAAATCTTTTCAATTGAAAACAACATACAATTCCCAATGGGCTGTTTCCTTAGGCTGTAGAGTATCGTGATGAAATAACAATATCATTACAATTTTTTAAAAATAGTTGACTTTTCCTCATTTGCTGATAGAGGGACTTGAGGAGGCATCTATGCTGTAGAAACTGCCAGTAGGTGGGGCATTATGCTGATAGTGTAGAACAGCTAAAAGGCTTGAATATTAGCCTCCATTTTAACACTTTTATGTTTCATCACTTCATCCACCCCTTTTCTTTCCAGAAAAAAGTCCATTAAGGCAGAAAACATCACACAATGCCTTTTAATCAATTGCACTAGCCATTTCTTTGAAGAAGAGGGGGGGAAATTCCAAGAATCTTGGCTTACATGTCCTCCTGTAAAAACAGGATGCTTCAAGTTTGATCCTTGCCAAGGAAAATTTTGAAATGTGCTTGCAAGGAACACACATAGTTCAGCAAAGTGACATGACTTGGCATAAATTCCAGCTGGACATTACTGCTTACACACTTGCTCTTTTTTACAACTTTATACTGTGTCTGCACTAACATGATTTTTGTCATATTTAGTATGATTTATTTCTTTATCTGCACTAGATTGTTCTGTCACTTTAACTTTGAGTATTTCAATAAGTATTACTAGTGGGCAATTCATTTAAAGGCCTTAAGGTTTTTTTTTCTTGTAGCATCATTCTGCAACATTCAAGAATTTTTACAAGTGTACCCATGTATGATAGCCTTATGGTTTTCTTACTGGAGTGGAGGTCTATTGACCAAAAAATATAATAGCTGCTTTTTGAATTATAGCAATTACTGTCTTCCTCCTGCTCCATCAATTCCCAATAAGTGTTACCTCTCTTTTTTTGTACTCCTGTTCTATTTTATGTTCAGACCTGTAAGATATAAACATTGCAATAGAATTACATGCAGTAAAAATTCTGGGTACTAGGTTATTTGGTATAAGACAACTCCAAAATTGTATTTTAAAAAATACATTTAAAAAAAATTGCATTTAGTTTCTTGCCAGGAGTAATTCAAGAACTCAACATCTCAGAGTTTGTATAAACTTTTGCTTAAGCAAAAGCAGATATGGAACACTATTTTCATGTCCAATAGTCCTGCAAATTTTTGACTGCGCCTAAATGGTGGGCACAAAAGCAGAGCCAAAAATGAACTTTTACAATAATGCTAGTGTCACTTCTATGGAAGAAAGTTTTGGATTTTCACAATGGCAGCACTGAATCCAATTTGCCAATGATGGGTTTTCCCTCCCACCATTGTTCTGAAAAAAGAATAAAGCAAAGCAGTTCTTTTTTGCTCAGTGGAAGTGCAGAAGCCCTGTTAGCAGAGAGGAATGAAACATCACGGCTGCTTATCTTGGTTTTTTCCATTTTTGTACGTGGGTATTGTTTTCTTCAATTTTATAGATGGACATTGTTCAGTCTCACAATGGCATGAAACTATAGCAATTGTCCCTAGTGCCGAAAATTGCCAGTTGCTTCTTGCCCCTCTTCCCCTCTTCAAAAAGAATATTGTCATCCACACAAATGGATTAAAAATTAGTTTTCCATTAGGTCATCTTGCTTTCCACATATACAAAATGTTCTTTCTGCTCTGAACATGAACAATGAAAGGACAGAGATAAAGCATTTTCCTAATCCCCAAAAGTTAAAAGTGTAGTATTTTGAAATTCCAGAAATTTCAGTAAATTATAAATACCTTTTAAAACATTCCAAATGTTTTAAAATGTAAGCAACTTATTTGCTTGCCTGCATTAGCTGATTTCACATATTGGCTGCTTCTCAATTAAAATTAAAAAGATGATTTAAAGAGACAGTAATAAAACAATGATAAAATCAATTAAACAACACTTGAAAATTGAAGAAAATAAACTCCCCACAAATGCAGTTTGATTTCTAGACAGTTCATCCTTGTATTATTGTTGGCCACAGTATGCAAGCAGTTTGCCACTGCTGTCTTCCAAGGTAGCCTTCCAGTTTCCACTCCAGTGTACTGTACAGCTAAAAGAGGAATTAAAGATAATCAGAAATGTAAGCTTGAGAGAAGAAAAAGCTTTCCACCTGATGTCTATAATTAATATAACTGCTAGATAAGCTTCCACAGGATGTGACTAATTTCTCAAAAAGGAACATTTTCTTAAAAGCCTACAGCATAGGAAAATTGGCTAACTGAACCCTGCATTTTAAAAAGGAGATCCAATATAGATATTAGAAATTATAGACTAGTTAATATTTGCTACTACAAACGAACACTTGTCATATTCTCAGTATTCTTAAGCATTTTTAAATTATATACAGACTGGATTCATATAATACAGTAAGGAATCTACCCACCTTAACAAGCACAAGGCATTAGATATTAGACTGGTGCTTGTTAACTTCCTAGTAACTTGTCTGCCATTAGGAAAAGTGAATTTGATGAATTTTCTCATATCCTAAAATCATTTTAGTAATTAAAAGGGGAATAGGAAACGCTCCCAAAAGATCACTCTAGACTGGAAGAATGGATGTTAGACATATAAATGAGGCTTAATAGAAGTAAATATAAATTATGTTTATAAACTATAATTTCACTTGCATGCTGATAAGAGTCTTGGCTGCAAGCAATTGACTAGCAAAAGGATCTTGAATTTATATGGGTTACACAAAAAAATATAACTCAGCCAATTGAATGAGTGCTAGAACATCTGTGTAGAATCCTATTTTATGCAAGCATCAAAAATTTAGAGAAAATATAAAGAAATTTAGCTATCACTTAACGTAAATCTCAGGTGCAAATTCCAAACTAGAATCAAAAGCCATCATAGTGAAATGAACATACTTTACAGGTTTCAGACAAATGAAAGAAACACCCCCCCCATACACACACACACACACACACACACACAAACATATATTAGATTTTCGAGGGGTTCTCTATTACAGGCAGTGTAACAGATATTTATTTGAAACTAAAACAAGGCTCAAGTTGCCACGATGAAAGAAAAACATTATCTGAATTAGAATGTTCAATCTGTTGAATGATAAAGACAATCCAATTCAATGAAACAAATCCTGAGCAAATAACAATATTTTAAATTGATGTCTAAAAGAAAGTAAATATATATTTAATAAAGGAATGTATGATTATTGTAATTTCTGTCCTCAGAATTTTTGTTTCAAATTCAGTTTGTTCCATATGTGTATCTATTTTTCTAATATATGCAGTTCTGTGTGCAAATTTGCCAAATGCATGCATTTGTACAAGAAGTTTAATATAATACATTGTGCGCATTCTCCTTAGCTTCTGTAAAATCGCAGTTTTTATGCATAGCAACTTCAGAGAAGATTAACTTCCATCAACAATTTGTATTTGGTTCACATAGGGGTTCCAAAGTGAAACAAAGGAAATTTGCCTTTAAATATGAATTTTCCCTTTACCCCAACTTGATAAATAATCCAGAGGAGGGCGTTTGAAAGTCTGCAAATAAATCCATTTCTAGTCATTAACAATCTCATTTCTGAAGAAGTAGAATCCTGAAGCCTTAAAAGAAACCAGCAGAACTGCATGAAAACAAATGAGAGCAAATTGAGACTGACATACGAATTTTGTCTAAACAAAAAGTTGTAGCCAGGGAAAAGGCTTCAAGTATATGCTTACATTCCTAAATGACATTTCCCAATTTGGCTGTCATGTTCTGTAGTATTTGAAATTACAAAATGTGTTCTGTCATGACAACCCCACTTTTCACCTATTGCAGTAGTCCTGATTAAATATTGTTCCTCAAAATGGATACTGATGGGATCAGGTTTGTTCATACTGGTAGCTATTGCTGCCTTCTGCTCATCTAAAGTTACCAGTCTGGCTAATATAAGAGCTAAGACCACCGTGTTTCTCCAACAATACAGCCTCCACCAATAGGAAGGCCCAGCATGATTTCTAGGCATGAGGTGAAATTAAGCCCCAGCCCCAAAATTTAGGCCTATTTAATCCATGTGTTTCCCCACCATTTCTCACATCGTTCGTTAGAACTACACGAGGTGAAGAGAAATGGGGGGGAAGGGCAGGGGTGGGGGGGGGGAGAAAACTTGCCTTTAGGAGTGCCCTACAGGTAGACTAGGCAAGAATACCCCGATCTACTGATAGAACATCAGCCAATAGAAGCTCCCCGAAGGCAGGGTCCCCAGCCGCTTCAGGGCATGGCGTGGCTTCCTGTGTCCCCTCACCTTTAGGCAGTCCCTTTCGGGCAATGGAAGCTCCCCATGTGCAGTCACCAGCCACTTCGATCAGCCATTAGAAGCGGCCTCAGGGCGAGCGCACACACACACTCCCCTCACCCCAAGGCCATTTCTAGGGGCTGATCGAAGTGGCTGGTGACTGCACTTGGGGAGCTTCCATCGCCCAAAAGAGACTGCCTAAAGGCGAGGGGACACGGGCAGCCATGCCACGCCCTGAAGCAGCTGGGGACTCTGCCTTCGGGGAGCTTTCCTCGGCCGATAGAAGCAGCCTTGGGCCGAGGGGAGTGTGTGTGTGTGTGTGTGTGT